ACTGCTGTATTGTCTCAAAACGGCACCCCTACATATGCGTTTTTTTCAGAAACTTCGTCCATTTTTGCGCATAACACTACTTTGTTAATGGTATATGCACTCAGCCTATGTACTCGTGTTCGAGGGAGAAGCTTAAAGTATTCAGTGTAATTCTCTGTTTTCGCAGAGCAGCAGTTCCTTTTTGGGTGAGCAGTGCTAGGGCAGGTAAGTCGGTTCTTCCAATGCGGTGGGCGCGAAGTGTAGGTAAGGGCTGGTGTACACTGTAACGAAGTTAACGACACGCCATGAGTATCGATAATCGTTGCCCCTCTGTTGCTTTTTCGACCTTTGACCCCCCCCCTCCGGCTTAGTCCATCGATTTAGTGGACACAATCTTCCACATACATTTGGCGCCTATCGCATTTAAAGACTTGGCGTGCCTACCTGACTAGCTTTTCAGAATTTTTGAGTCTTTCTACTACAAGTACTTATAATTCAAATCTGTTATATGGGTGAATATCGGCGATCAAGCAAACATATGTTATATGGGTGAATATCGGCGATCAAGCAAACAAAAAACGAATAAAACCCACTAAATAAGGAGCGAAAAATACCACGGCCGCCTGCCAGATTCCATCAATGGTATTGATGGCAAAAAGTTGGTACGTGTACTTCGTTCCTCTCCGGCCTGGGGCATAGAGCGCAGGATTTGACAGCAACTCATCGGCCGGTGCATCCTGATCGATCACACCCACGATGATCGGTTGGAGACTAAAACAAATATTTATTGTAGTTTGGAACCGACCACAAATGTATCATTCCCCTATCATTATCACTATCATTTGCCTGAAGCCCTACTCAATCATTTTCGAAGCCCAACTCTACAACTCCTTGAAAAAATACATGTTTGCATAGTGAATAAACATTCACCTTGAAAATATGATAGGGTACAAAATTGAATAGACCGGGTCAGTGGTGAACGACGCACTCCAACCATTGTAGAATTGGAAAAACAGTAGTATGAAAACGTTGTTCTGAAAGTAACAGCAGCTTTTCCATCTGAACTGAAAAAATACCAGATTTGTGAGAGGGAATGAGAGCCTTTAAAGGCGCATCAACATCCTTGTGCGGACCACCGATGAGATGTTCCGCTGCGCACATTACCGCTCACCTCATAGGCAGGTGTTCCATCGGCAAAATGGATCATGGATAACTTTCGTGTGAAATATTCTTTCTACAACAGCCTCAGTTTGAAGCAGTTTCTTCCATAACGCATTGATTTTTCATAGCTCGGCAACCTGTTCCCTCAAATCTGCAACTTGCTTCCAAGCTATTGCTTTATTTTGCGGGGTGTTCCAAAATTGCCTGTCACCAGATGTCGAAACTCAA